CTTGTGACTTCAAACGAGATTTAACGCGACTCGGGGACGGCGTTTGCATGGAGGTGAGGACGGTGGTGGCGGGCGGAGCTCTTCCGTGCGACGATTTGCGGCCTCCGAGGCGTGAGCGCGAGGCGTAAAACAGAGCGGGAGAGGCAGCAGGGGAGCTGGGGGCTCGGCTTCTTTTATCGAGGCCGAGGAGCGGGGAATGCTCCCACGACGCCAGAGGCGTGGTGGCGGCGGTTGCTCAAGCCATCAAAGCAGTGTTGCCGAGCCGCTGTGGAGAAGGGATGGCGCCGACACGCTGGGCTGGGGCTGCTGGCTGTCAGTGTGGCGGGCGATTATAAGCCTTGGCAGTGACTGGGTTTTGCGGCAACTTGCCGGGCCGAAGCGGCCGGGCCTTGTATTGCTGGGTTGGCCCAAGAAGGAGAGAGGAAAAGAGCGAAGCGGGCATGGAAAGAAAGGCCATAAGGGCCGAAAGTGAGGAAGAGGAGGGAAAGGAAGGAAATTTCCTTTTATTTTATAAATAAAATTTTCCAATCTCATTTTCAAGGTAAATTTGAATTCAATTCAAATTTTAGTCAAAGCTAATCATTACAAAAGCAAATGCACATCAGCATGAATGCATCAACATGTTTCTATTCCTTATATTTGATTTTAATTTCCCAAAAATTATTAATTTCCTATATTTGACACAATATAACATAAATAAATCAAATTTACTATTTTAAAAGATTGCAAATTTAGGGTATTACATTAAATGTCGATAGGGAGGATCATGCACCTCATGGTTAACGTTAGCCTAGTCTTTAAAGATGCTCATAAAAGATACTCATAGGAATAGGATTTACATGCGTACATTGTGAGTATTTATGTTGTATCGTGTAATCACACACACACACACACAAATCGTCAAAAGAAAACATCGTATTTAAGGTATTTTCAAGGTCAAATAGCGGCATTAAGTGCTCGATTCTTTAAAAAACAACAAAGGTTTACTATATATGACGTGGTTATTTTCACGCATTCCTATTCATAAATTAGCCAATGAGAATGATGTGTTTCACTGAAATTTCATGAAACGGACATTCAAAATAAAATCACAATAGTAGCACTAATCCATATTGATATTCCTAATGTCAACAAAAACCGGTGGAAAATAAAAGCCCATTTCAAACTTCAACATTTTTTTATATTTACGAAAATAGGTTATATTAACAAAAGACAATCTAACTAAACAAACTTGGCAAGTAAGCAAAATATGTTGTTTTAACATAAATGAAAGCAACCTCGAGTCCAAATTTGAGAAAAGACATAAGAGGGGGGAGCGGGTAAATTGGGTCTCTAAAAATCTAAGGCTAGTGTTTTACTTGAACTTCACTAGATAAGGAATATGTGCCGCCTATTTTTTCGCGTGCCCCATGCCTGTGCTTGGTTTCTCTACGCTCGCTTGGCGATGCCCCAGCAGCGGACCCACGCCATCGGACGTCACCTAGCATCTACAGTAGGTGCTACGACACAGGTGGGTCCCATTGCAATATGTGCAACACCAGATCTACTTTTGCAACACCCAGGTGAAACACTTGCAACATACATCCAAAAACAGCTGAAACACTTGCAACATACGTCTGAAGCACTTGCAAAACACCTAAAAACACTTGAAAGCCATTGAAAACATATACAACATCCAAATGAAACATTTGCAATAGATGTATGAAACACCTGAAACACTTGAAAGATACGCTTGCAACATGCATGTATATGCAACATCCAGATCTACTTTTGCAACATTCAGATAAAAACACTTGCAGCATATGTCTGATACAGATGAAACATTTGGAACATACACTTGAAACATACATATATAGCCATTGCAATATGTGCAACATCTCGATCTACTTTTGCAACATGATATAAAACACTTGCAACATACCACTGAAACACCTGAAATACTTGAAACATATGTTTACAACATGTTCTTTCTGCGCAAACATCTCCTTGCTACTTCGACGAATGGAGACTCGTCGGCACGTGGAGGTCACCGGTGTGCTCGCCGGTGGTGCGGAGCTCACTAGCAACGTGGACTGGGCGGCGGCGCACAGACGGCCAGGTGGGGGCGGCACAGGTGGCGGTGGCGCAGAGAGTGGGTGGAGCGTTCGAACGTCAGACGCTCGAGTTAGAGCATTTCCAAATTTGGGAAAAGACCCAAGACGGGGAGTGGGTAAATTGGGTCTCAAAATTTAAGGCTAGTGTTCTACTTAAACTTCATTGGAAAATTATGAACTAGTATAGTATGATTTGTACCTTGAATTTTTTTTATTCTGTTCTAGCTACCAAAACCCACAAAGAGTTTTACAACTTAGAGCGAGTCCTATTAACTAACCTAACACTAGGAAAGGCAAAGGCAAAGGCAAAACAAATCAAGCACAACTACAGAATCTTAAACGTGGTAAGAAAAGAATAGGTCATGAGACAAAAATGTATAGGATTGTATCAGTTGCCTGACCGCAATATTTAGTCCATATCAGAGCTCCACCAAGTTCCACTCTCAATCAAGTCTTCCCCTAGTTATAGTGTTGACCTTGCCAAAAAGGCTCGTACAACCAATGCTAGTGTCACAAGCCACGGAGACTCATCGTCCCTCCCAACCCTCCATGTCGCAGAACCGACCAATTTATAAGAGCATAAGTACAATGGCAGCCCGCAAGCGGTCGCACTGTCATACTTGAGCCCATATAAACCCGGTTGTCCGTCGAGTACCACGACGAGTCTTGATAAACGATCCACATACAACCAAGATCGTACATGATTCAACATACATGTCGCATGTTACATAAAGTTCACAGATACAGATCATTCATCAGAGTACGAAATAGAGTTATTACAAACCAAGTTCGATAGATAGTAGCGGAAGCAAATTAAAGTTCAAAAGTAGCATTTGCCAACATAGTTCCAATACAGTGCCAACACATGATCACCATCCACAAAAGCATATAGAAGGATTATTAGAGATGCCTGTCCAAGCCTCACTCCTCATCCACGGTGGGATAGAAGCAATGCTTGCAATAGCCGTGATAGACGGTACCATATGCAACAATGGGAATAAAACCCTCAGTACGAGAAGGTACTCAGCTAGATTTACCCATCAAAACCAGAAATAAATTAACTCCAAAGATTATGCAAGGCTTTATAAGTGGAGGTAGCTTGATAATATTTTGCATAAAAGCGATTAACTCAATTATACAATTATACTTTGGTCATCAAGTTAATTATAGCTATTCATCTCTAGATTAACAACTATCATGTGCCAAACATGTGGTATTTCATTTAAGAGCATACAATAGTAACCATAGCCGGTGTAGTGATTCCATGTTTATCCGAACCATCACATTCCATAATACAATTACTACGACGTTGGAGCTAGCCAAGTTTCTCACTATCCGGGACAGACGACGATTTGAATCGATTTCAACCAGCTGGAAATTTATTCATAAGGTCACACAAGCATTTCATACATTGGTTACATATTTTACTTCCTAGGTCAACATGCATATCATCACTTAGGAGCTTAATTAGACAAAAGGGTCTACATGAACAATGTTCCATTAGTCATCCTAAGTGAAGCTAAGGTGCTTCAGTGACCAACATCAACCATTTACACTTATTCACTCATGATCATAAGCACACACAAAGGAAACATGAAATGACAAGGCATGTTTCATATGTTTCAATCATATGTTTCATATGCAAAAGTTTATATATGAATGCTTGATGCTTATGCTCATGCAATGCAAGTCAAATTATGCAAGCCTAACACCTAGGGTGTTACACTCCAGGTCACTTCGGCGCCATTCACCGTGGAGCTTCTTGACCAAGGAAGAGGTTTCTTCATCCCCACACACCAAGTTGTCACCAGTACACACCAAGCTCGCTAGAAGATCATCAAGACCTCAAATGCTTTGGATCACAAATATTTTGCATATGTTATGTGCATGTACACATCACAGAGATGATCGACAAGAATGCTAAGAATGAATCCCATGAAGAAAGTATTAGCTTCCATGAACTTCTCTCTGATCAGCATTCGAGAGAGTTCTTTCTATCTTGCTAATATTAACCCTGAACACATTCGCAACTGTAAGCCAGAGGATAACCTTAACTTGCCACCTCTTTGAATCGCACGCTGAATTTTTTTTTTCCAGACCATGTATAATTCTTTTTTTGGAAAATTGGTTCTATAGCATTAAAAGATCACAAGACCTTAGCTCTGCGCCCTCGAGCTCCGATTCTTGTGATCTTTCAATTTTCAATGCTACCGAACCAATTTTCCTTTTTTATCAATGGGCTTACGGGAACTAGCCCATGTATAGATTTTAACACCGAGGCTGTGAATCCATGAATAACTTCTTTGTTTCTAACAAATGCATTCTTTCTGTACTTACAAACTTTTTTGTATTTAAGGGACAACAAAATCTCAACGATTTTACAAGATAGTGATATCAAAAGTCAATGAAATTTCAGAGATACTAAAGACGATATCATCACATGGCGAACTCGAGCTCTGGGTCAGCCGCTACATGCATGTTGATCACGCGAGAGCTACTCATCAACAACTCCCAAATGACGGAGTTTGCGTTCACATATTGCCCATTATTTAAAACTCTTTTATATGCGTTGTGAAGAATTCCCGGACACACACGCATACAAGTGGACTAGTCTCCATGATCAGTCGACGAAGGTAATTAGGATAAACAAATCTTTTTACGACACATGCACACGGTGCATCTCGCTGCTGCTGCTGCTGCTGGACCCCATAAATAGTGCCTTAGACCAAGCTGCTCCCTCATCGTCATCTTCTTCTTCCTCCTCCTAGCAACACGGAGAGGTTAGCTGCTGCTGCTGGACCCCATAAATAGTGCTTTAGACCAAGCTGTTCCCTCATCGTCATCTTCTTCTTCCTCCTCCTAGCAACACGGAGCGGTTAGCTGCTGCTGCTGCTGCTACAGGCAGAGATGGCAGGAGCAGAGCTTGCAAACGGCGTGCACGAGGGCGCCCTGGCTTTGGAGGAAGGCAGAGGAGGAGACGAAGCAAGGTGTGAGAGCTCGGAGCAGGACGGAGCCGCCGGTCGCCGCCCCATGTTTTCCGTGCCGTTCGTGCAGAAGGTATGCCTCTCTTGCTTTCAATCACTTGATGGCTGCTTCACTTCCTTGCAATTCAGCAAAAGGTGTGCTTCTTCTTGCATTCATGTTTAGCAAAACAATTATGTATCCTTGGGGAGGGTGTGGTGGGCCGGGAGGAATGATCCATACGTAGTGTTCAAACACTGTTACGGAGCAACAGACAGAGGAAAGAACAAGATGACAACTGCTCATGTCCTCTGATCTGAGTTGTGCCCCAGAAATGGCCAAATTCAGAACAATACTGTAATAAGTACACGGCGGCTAAGGGGAAAAAAATTAAGTCCAAACAATTCTTGTGCGTTGTTGCTACTCCCTTCACAACATCTTGGTCACCACCTTGGTGCCATCACTTGTTTTCTTATCCCGTCGTCATCCGATCGACATCCAAACAAAAGAATCAGCAGTCGGCAACGAGGAGAAGCAACCCATGTGAACGCGACGTGTGATTCTGATGCATGCTCGGTGATATCGCGTTTGGCTTCTGCTTGCATACATGCAGATCCTGGCGGAGATCTTCGGGACCTACTTCCTCATCTTCGCGGGGTGCGCGGCGGTGGCGGTGAACCTGCGGACGGGCGGCACGGTGACGTTTCCGGGCATCTGCATCGTGTGGGGGCTCGCCGTCATGGTGATGGTGTACTCCGTGGGCCACATCTCCGGCGCGCACCTGAACCCGGCCGTCTCCGTCGCGTTCGCTACCTGCGGCCGGTTCCCTGAAGCAGGTCCCCGCGTACGCGGCGGCGCAGGTCATGGGGGCGACGGCGGCCAGCCTGACGCTGCGGCTGCTGTTCGGGAACGCGCGGGAGCACTTCTTCGGCACCGTGCCGGCAGGCTCCGACGTGCAGTCGCTGGTGATCGAGTTCATCATCTCCTTCAACCTCATGTTCGTCGTCTCCGGCGTCGCCACGGACAACAGAGCCGTAAGCGCCAAACCTCAAACTTTGACCATTATGCTCGGTCGATCCGTCACGGGTCTTGTTCAGCTTCAGCTGTCCACCATCAATCGACCTCATCCAAAATTTTAAAATGATATCAAGGCTTCCTCGTCAAGATTCAAGAGGGCAAGCAACAATTTTTCGTTAAAACTTGCACTAGCCAGCCGAGGAGTTTGAAGTTTTGAATCAGAGATGCTTTTTTTTCCTTCATTTTGCGAAATATATTGAAGGGTTCGTGATAGTATAGATTGAGTAATGATCGAAAATTAAAAAAAACAAATATGCAAATGAAGGAGGTGATCGACATTTTGAAATCAGCAAATGGCTATGTTAACCATCGCTGTTGGGAGCGTTGCTTTCTAGTTGGATTATGGTTGCCTGTCACTTTTAATGAAAATCCACCGTACCCAAGCAAAAGAAAAAGTGTTCTGTTAGTATATCCATAGAAGCTTATCGGGAAATATCTCACTGGTCTAAAATTTATGCGGTCTTAACCTTGAACCACTACTTATAGGACAACACACAGCCGTAAGTTAATTAGCATCTGTTCTCCCCCAGGAACTTTTGACCATTGTCACATGCTTCATCACTGGTTGAATGGTCACAAATAGCATTAACGAAGTTAATATTCAGAACATCAAACGTGGCGCTCTTGACAGTGAAAACTCCCCTCTCAAAACAAGGAAGTACTCACTCCATTCTAAATTATAATTTATTCTGATTTTTCTAGGTAGATAGTTTTTATTGCGTACCTACATATAAGTAAAACCCATATATCTAGAAAAGTAAAATTGATTTACAATTTGAACGGAACAATAGTATCTATCAGTTCTAAATTATAAATCGCTTTGATTTTTTTTACATCAATTTTGCTATATGTCTAGATATATATTTTGCTATATATCTAGACATAACACATGTCTAGATATATATAAAAAAATCGGTGTAAAAAAGAAGACAAAACAACTTATAATTTGGAATAAGGAAGTACTTAACATTACACTAATAATCTGATGACTTTGTTCATCATGGCTGTGCGGAAAACTGATTAATCCTAGTTGGGTTGGTTGCATGACGTAGGCACGAGTGTGCACGTATAGAATTGTGTGGCTTTCAGAGGAACAAAAATGCCTCGGTCATAAAAGGAGCTGGGTAGAATGAAAACGAATAGAATAATTGAAATCACCTCCTTAAGAAACACCGTATACATGGTGTCTGACACAGATGCTTACAAGAGACCAGGCTAAAAAATATTAGTTGACGAAATCACTAAAAAACATCAATGTTAACGCTCATGTCTTCAACCTCAAAAATGGATAAATTAAATAGTCGACAATGCAAGCATCTGTACTGAATCTTGGACTCAAGCAACCCCAGGTCAATAGATTACACACAAAAAAAAGACTAATCAAACTGCACTCATCAATTATTCGTGTAATGGTTATTTCAACGTGTGTAACAAAGTTTTGCACAAGTAAATTCTAATTATAAATCGGGCACATGCCGAGCTGGCAGACTACCAAAAACAATGGACAATCCAAATTTATGAATAGGCTTAGAGCATCTTCAATAGAGTAGCTAGTACTTCTTTAGCTATAACATTGTCCATTTAAGGTGTAGATTGGATGATGATGAATCTCTTCAATAGTTTGGTCATAATATGCTCTGAATAATAAATACGTTGGTCCACATGTGTAATAGACTAATAGGCTAATAATAAAGTTTCTCAACGGTGCCGTCGACTTCGACAGTTGGACCAGTTGTGGACCCATACTTTAGAATTAATTAATAACATTATTTTTTCTCTCCATCGGTTGCTTCCGATTGGCAGCTAGGGCCATTGAAAAAGCTGCATGTAAAAAATTTCAAATTGGGCCGCGTTTAATAGTAGTAAGACCCGGATTTGGCGTCGCCTTATTTAATAAATATTGTTGCAATCGTGGACATCGTAACATTTTGTTTTTATTTGTTAATATTCATTCTATCGTTGATTTTTCAACTAAATGTTTGTGCAATTAGTTATTTTTTACAATTATATTTATTTCGCTCCATTTAGTAAACGACTAAAATTGATGTGTAATGGAAAGAGAGTAGAAAAACTCTGAAATTTTAAGGTATCTAAACAAGCGCCGAACGGATGAAAAAGCTGCATGCCCTCGTTGGTCCGAGCCTGCCCTGAACCACCGAGCTAAATCCACGATTGCTAGCGCAGTGAACGAATCGATAGCGATTCATTTGTTTGCTCGTTCTCTCCCTCCATATTGGTCTGATCGAGAGCCTGCCCTGAACCTACTAATAGCGAGCTAAATCCACGATTGTTGGAGAATTGAGTGTTTTTGATTTCAGTGAAACCAATCACGAAATCTTCATTTTTCAGCATCTTTCAAATTTCTTAAATCTAAATCTCTCTTCCTCATAGACAAAACTCTGACGTGGACAGCGTATGAGCTGACATGTAACATTATCCATGCTCTATTGCAGATTGGCGAACTCGCTGGCCTCGCTGTCGGAGCTACCGTCCTGCTAAACGTGCTCTTTGCCGGGTAAAAACTAAAAATACAATGTACAGTACAGTGCAATACATGCATATATCTGCAAAACTAATACAGTGTGTGAAAAACGCAACTGATGTGATGTGATGTGATGCACTGCACAGGCCTGTATCAGGAGCGTCCATGAACCCGGCGAGGACCCTGGGCCCGGCGATCGTCGTCGGCCGCTACGCCGGCATCTGGGTGTACTTCGCCGGGCCCATATGCGGGACGGTGGCCGGTGCGTGGGCCTACAACCTCATACGCTTCACCGACAAGCCGCTGCGGAGATCACCCAGACCTCCTCCTTCTTGAGAAGTGTGAGGAGGAACTGACCTGGAGTAGCTGCCACCCAAATAAGCAACTCTGTTTAGTTGAGGAAGTTTGAATTTGCTGTTACTTTGTAGCGTACTCTCTTATATTTGGTAATTTTTGTCAATTCATTTACATATTATTCAGTAAATGTTTGTCTTGTTAGTTTAACTGCTGCAAGAGTTTTTTTGGGTCATATTTGAGGTAAATTTATCCGCAAGATTCGATGCGAAGAAGAATTACTTTTCAAAAAATTTGGGATAAACACGGCGTAAAACTCTCTGAAGATAGAACAGTTCACAGTGCTGTTCTCTGTTGTGCTACTCTTTTCTTTTTTTTTGTCAATTAATTGCTGATATTATTCAGTGAGCCGAACCCTATTGGTTTAACCGCTGCAAAATTAGCTACTTTTGATTTTAATTTTTTTCGCGAAGAAGAACAACCCTTCACCCTTTGTTTAGGGATACGAGGTATTAAATGGAGCTCAAAATCACCTGCTATGCTAATGTCTGTGTTTTTGTTTAGATTCTCCATTTCAGGAAATGCTGAGACGACTAATCTCCCGAACCCCTATTGGCTTTCATTTAAAATTAGTAAAAATAATTTTGATTTTAAATTTAAAAGAGTACAAATAGAATACTTTATTAAAACGAGCCATTAAGGCAGCTCAACGAGCTTTTGGTTTGAACCTAATTCCTAGGTCACGTTCTGGATTGTGTTCCCATGTCACATCCTGATTCATGACTCTGGAGAGGGTATGGACTTATACACCTCAGGATCATTTTGTCAAACCATAAACAACATGTTTCTCCGGCATGTCAAACGTTACCACGGCAAGTTGCCTGGCGTGTTATCAGCAAGTCAATCCATACGATGTAACATTCAATTCTGAACTAACGCATAAGAGAACCAATAGCAAGACACTAGGACATCGTTGCCGATTTTATAGCTCGGATAGGTGAAAACTTCAACAATGGAAAATCCAAACCTGACGTCTTGATCCCTTCAATTCTATACTATGCAACTGTCATGTTGTATATAGAGTGGCTTCTATTTTCTTGCTGGGCCCGTAACTGCAGTAGCTTGTGCTTGTGCAACCTGGTTGAAAATTAACACACCATACCATCCCCTCATTAATGCAACTAGGCCGGGTTGCGCGCTTCGCTGCGCACGCAGGTGATGTGTACATCTCTGTGTTTTTCTTGCGGTGAACTTGTGATACCGCTCTTGCTAAGGTTACATCACTTTGATCTTTGTGAGTTGTGACTGGTATTCGAGCATCGTGGATGCGTGAGGATAGCGTGGCTTGCCTTTCCGGAGTATGTTGACGTGGTATTTCCCTTTCAATGTGGTATATGTATTGTTTTGGTGATTCATTTAGATCTTTCCGTATTATATATAATGTTTAGCTATGACGATGAAGCGAATACACATGGGATACAAAGGAACTTAGAAAAGTATACATATGCAAATACTGACTGGATTCATAAAGGGACCATATAACGTTCTTTGCAAAAAAAAAAAAATCCAAATTTGCCCAACTATGTATTGATTATTTTAAAAATACATGGACACATGACACATGATTTAAAAATAAAAAACTGTTCTGGCCGAACCCGCTAAGGCTCATACATCGTGGCATAAGCACCGATTCACTTTCGCAAGCCAAATTTCCTAACTTTCCCTTTCACCTGTAACTTGAAATAAAAATAGAGAACATATATCAAATGAATAAACATTATACAGATTGGGGTTTGTCAGAACAAATGGAGTGTAGTTCCATTTGAACATTGGAAATTACCTTAGCTTTTATGCAACAAAAAAGAGGTGGTCTCAAGCTTTGAAGATTCACATGTTTCAAAATTGTGAAGAGGTGGTTTCAATATTCACAAGGGATCGTAAAAAAAATGTGAACTGACCTCTTCCAGATTTGGTGCTCCAGCTAGTATTGTATTATAACCAAGTAAATAGTTAGTCCCCACTAAAAATATATAGAAGTCAAAAGAGTCATGTTGTAGAGGAAAATGACAGATTGTAGATGAAGTTATCTGAAGTATGACAGGATCTGGTAGCTTTCTGGACATAATGTAGAGTAGTTCTACTCCAGGTTTCATACACAAAACTGATAAAACAGAGGTTTGCAAAAGAGTGTAAAGCCATCAGGAATATATGGTATTTTTTATCATAATAAAATCATGATATCACTAACCAAAAAGACTGTCAAGCATGAATATAATTTAGTGTTAATTTTATATGCAAATTATGCTAGCACCATGAATATAAAGGTCACCTAAAGCACATTATTTCATAGTATTTGACTGTACTATAGGTTTGAAACTTTGGGCAAGTTCATTTTCTTTGAACAATTGCTTTTTGCCATGATCAATAACATCATTCAAAGGTTTTCTGAACACCTTGTCCATGTAATGATAATAACAAATGTGCCACTGACCTGTTGGATGTTGGATCTCCACTTGCAGTATGAAGCTCACAGCTGACAGCTCCCAGGCAAGGAAGCAGTCATTGCTATTCTGAGTGGTGTGTGCTCGATGCGTCATGGCTTCCATTTAGTAACTCAGTATTGTAAGCCTTCAACATTACAATTAACTTTTAGAGCACAAACAGATCAGCAACACTACTGATCTCTCTGCTACACGATTTTTATGACAAAGAATACCACTGCAAGACGTGTGTTTACCTTTTTATGGGAGAAGAGGCTTAACAAAACCATTAGCTCAAAAAGATATAATGTAGAAAAGATTCATCAAGTGAACAACTTTCCTTTAACATTCTCCCCTCCCACGGGCCAAGAAGAAAAAAGAAAAATAGATTCCCAGCATTTAGTGCAGTGCAATTCAAACACAGGACGGCTTATATTGTAGGCATGCAAGTTTTGATCGAAGTCATCACTCTAGTGTCCGGTAAGCACAAACATAAAAGAAATCGCCATATAGGGAACATCCCAGCACATCACCCAAAGATGCTCGACGCATATTTTATCAGAAGTGATAATAGCAAGAAGAATAAACAACAGTAGTGTAAACTTACATTTTAGAATCACATGATTGAGGAAGAGAATCTGAGCGCTCATATCCATAGCCCAAATCTTTTAATCACAAAAATTCTGTTATGATAAAAGAATTCATAGACCTGCTCCAAGGAATTTATCATTCAGTAAAATTATCTAATTTTTAAACAAATAAACATAAAGCAAATCCTTACAATAATTACCATCGATATTTTACAGGCATAAATTATACAGTGATTCATTAGAGCTAGCTGAAGTTAGACAGATAACATTGCCGATTTCCCACCTCCAAAGGCTTTTTAAAGCAAGCACATATAAGATGCTTGATTTTGAAACACTATAAAATGTACAATTTTTAGCACATGTGAGCCATCCAGATGAGCAGAAACATGCCAATGGAAAAACTGCGCCATCTAATTTAGACATTTTTTTTATTTCGTACATTCAATGGCAGCTACATATTTGCACAGTCAAAGCATCAGGATAAAACATTCAATAGCTAGAATCATACCATGGCATACAGGTAGCAATGTCTTGTAGCAACTTTGAATCCGGAAGAAGGAATTAGGAACATTTTGCCATTAGAAAGGACTACATGTTTGCGCTGCATGTAACAGAATTCACAGATACTGATAATGCGATCCATTAGAAGTACCATGGGTGCAACGTGGGCTAGAGTCTGACATACGTCCTTCTGACATGATAGGAAGCTCTAGGATCACTGAAGCTGATGCAACCGCCGTTCTTGAGGTCTGCACGACAGAAGAAATCAAATTGAGTCAGCAACAGTTGAAGCAAGCCAGACATATACAATGGCATACTGCAAGCGGGATGGTTGAAAAGAATGGTCTGTCTAATGGCATGAGATAGAAACATGTGTAAGAGCAATTGCCTACGAAAACAAACTATTTCAGTTAGAGAAAAAAAACAGAACTATTTTTCCTAGGCTAGACATATAAGATGGAATAAATACTAACCTTCTATACATATGGATGCTAGGTCTCAGTTCCATCATTTGGAACTACAATCCACCATGGTATGCCCATCTACAATTCTGCGATCTCATATAATCTTAAAAAAATCCACCAAAGGAAACTAAATTTCTATAGGAAAACTAAGAAGAAATCAATCTCAAGTACTGTAGTTAAGACCTAACCAAAGTAGTTAAGACCTAACCAAACACATTTTTTGTCCAAGCAGATCAAGATCGGACACCAGATCGAGATGATCAACATGGAGAAGGAGGGGGCGTGAACCTCAATGCCAGGAAGATGGCAAGGTAGACTTGGGGAGCCGCCTGCTGGCGGAGATGAGGATGAGTGCAGCCTCTGACCGTCGCTTCCGCTCTGTGGATGCCGACGCCCTAAGCGTCGCCGCCTCTCCGTCCTGGTTCGGCACACAACTGTAGGCAAGGCTGGTCGCCGCATCTGCATGCCGCTGCTGCCGGGGGAGAGGATGAGGCGATGAAGCCGTCGACACGCGCAGCCTTCGTGAAGGAAGGACGCCGCATCCGCGTCTGCCGCCGCTGGGGGAGAGGAAGAGGAAGAAGCGCGGACGGAGGCGGCGAGGCGCGATGTCGGGTGCGGTTTTTCTCCTTTTTTTATTTACTTTGATTTGACGTAGGCACAGGCAGAGACCCAATCCTGAGAGAGCAAATCGATGCGTGCACACGCACGATGCCACGTGGATGCACCAGATATGGAACAGTAACCAAATCGCTCTCCTACCGTGGATTCTAGGAGCTATATGGAGTAGTATATATATGATGTGAAATGACGAACCTTGTTATCCACATGCTTTGGATCAACACAGTCTAAGATGGAAGTTTGATCCGATAGCATGTCGGCACTCAATTCCCTAATCCAACCACCATGTTCTAAGAGCATCTCCAATAGTACCTAATACCCCTTCTCAATTCATGATTTTTTAGGAAGAATGAAAAAAAATCCATCTTCAACACCTCCCAATCTTTTAACACTCGAAAAAAACCTCCCCTTACAAGTAAAGATGCTTGCACTCTAGGTCGCGTCTATCTTCTCCTTAAACGTCCGTATCCTTCCTCAATCTAAAGGTGGAAGGTCGGGTGAAGAATAAAGAGTAAAAAAAGATTTCTAATGCAAATGTACCAGAAAGAAAGAATATATAAAAGAGATTAAGATAATTTAGATATAGTATAGAATTCCTGATGTAAAATTATCTTCTATATTTTAGAAGTAAATTATTAGAAACTGTTGAAGATGATCTTATTTATTCCTCCCAATACTCTTTGACAAGTTAAAAAACTCCAAGTTGAAAAACTCCATAGTTTGCTGGAAAAAAAAATTGGAACTCTTGGAGATGCTCCTACATGCTACCGAGTACCCGTTTACCATGAATGCCTTGCAAACTCATGCGTGCAGAGGGACCGCTGCAAATACGCCCGCCAGGAGAATGCAAACCCTGCCTCAACCAGAGTTCTATTCCACCACAAACCCACGCCGACAGGCGACAAAACGGAGCACAAGTTTCACTCTGAACATTTACAACATGGACACATGCCATTTATACAATTGATCCTAGTTCGCATTTTCAAAGACATGATGACCAGAATTATCACCAATGATACCAAACTACTATACGAGAACATTATGCGTTGAAATGTAAGGATTACTCAGATACGAGGAATTGTACTACTGAGGCACACACGTAATAATTTGATAAAAGTACTAAACGTGTGTATAACTTAGCTGATAAATAAATAAAGGAAATGACGATTTAGCAATTTTACAAGTAAACTAAAATCTAATGATCTAAGACTGTCTACTGATGGTTACAAGAATGACAACTCGTGCACAAAAATGGATGTACCATCCCAGTAAATCGACAGTTGAATCCCTTACATCACTTGATCTGTTGTACAGGGGAGCATATACTTAAACCTAGCAAGAAATGTGTTGGGAGCTAACAAACAACAGACTCATCTGATAAAAATTGCTAAACAGGGTTGCTATATTCTGTCATTGAAACATCCTGAGGAAGTTATTTGCATACGCCATCGGCCTCACATCAGGGTGTGGCTGCAAGATGCATCATCAAATGTGAAAACCCCTTAATCAAATATCCAGTTGCTAATCAGATTGGTGCTAAAAAAGAAGTTTAACAGGAGCATGATAAAAGGATATTCAAAATGTCAACAAAGGGGAACCATAACCATGAGGAAATGCATTTGATAAGTAAAATGTGAAGGTGTTTCGAAATCTGGTGGTTTCACCTGAAGCGTGGAACCTAACAATTTTATGTTTTCTCATTGCTTCTTTGCTGGTTTGGTCCTCTGATTCCAGTTTCTGACAAAATGTGAATACTAATGTTCCACTAAAAGTTCAAGGTCATGTAAACACAAACTGGGCAAATTCTTAAAAACAGGCATTGTCCAGTTTTTGCCTCTGTTAGGATATAATTAAACCTTGAGCTTCAATCGACACTTCCCACATAAACAGCTTGTGCTAGTGATCCAAAGTTAACACAAACGAAAGAAAAGAGAACTACTCACCACAGCTGAGAAAGTAACAATATCTGGTTTCATTTCTGGAGCTGTGTAGCGAATAAATGCACCCTTGTTGCCCATCTGTATCAAAAATGCAGTTCACAAGATTAAAACAGCACGATATAGTGGTACATAAATTTGACAGCATAGATTAATAAATAAAAAATAGGACAAAAATTGACCAGAAAAACTCTGTTCTTTGCCTCAATAACAAAAAAAAACATCAAGAAAAGCAATCACCATTCAATGGCATAAGAATGCAAATGGAAGTTGGTATAAGCAAGCAACACGGTAACATAAAGCTATACACCTATACCTGGTCACAGTAATTAGGCGCAGAGAAGACTGTTATAAGCTTCCCATCATGTTCAATTTCATAGCCTTCATCCTTTACTTCATGGGACCGGACAATAAGATCTGGCAACTCATCAAGAAAACAAAAGGTGAAAACATTTCTCGTGTAAATTCCCCTTCAGTAAATAAGATCCCACGATATTTACCCAGGTTATTTTCCTGTAAAAACTTCTTAGTCACATCTGCGCCAAAGGAAAGAGCAACACCACGTTTGCTTGGACCTCTTCCAAGCTGAGGCTGAGGGTCACTCCATAGTAGTTCACACATTAGACCTGCCATAAAGAACCAGTAGTAACATTGTGTCATATGCCCATCATTGCCAAGTAGCCAATAGAAAGATGGCATCATACATCCTGAAAGCATGAAGCCATGAAAGTATGAAACATGTCGAGAAGACAAGAACTGAGCATACGACACTTGATTAGGACCATCTGGGGGTCCTACCCAACCAGCATGTCCAAGACTTGGCGTGGGTGCTTACCTTACCCAGGAATTAAATTCAGTTTAGGAAATAGTACACACACATGGGTGCTTTCAATGATAAAGCGTATAGAAATTTGGCTTCACTTTAAAAAGAATAATAGCTAACATTGTTCAACATTTTGACTGAAGTCCATAGTTCAGCTACTCCAAGTTAATGGGAAGCAGTCATGTGTACATTGGGAATCTACGTCATGTGATACTGCAGCAAGCTGACCAGGTAATAGAGCTTTAAGAAGATAGTAGAAGAAAACTCAAACCACGAACACCGTAGACATACACATAATAGCTAAATCAAGTGTAGATGAACTGCCACAGTAGGAAATCATTTCATAATATTAGTTGGAAATAAGCAGCATCAACCAAGTATAGAAAAAAGAGGATATTATACCTTCTTCAGGTGGTTCACAGAAACGATCAATGGACCTGATGTCTGAAAGTTTCACCCCATCAACACTAAACAGCCCTCCGTGAACCACAAAGACCTTGTTGTTGATGACATGCGCAAGAGGTAACCAACAAAAGACTTCAGCAAAAAGTTCAACAAACTTTTCGCCCAGCTTTGACCTCACTTCCCCCTCAAAGCCATATATTTTGTTCATGCTCTTGCTTTCATGATTTCCTCTTGCAAGGTACATAGCTGAAAGATTAAAAAGATTCACCAGTGCAATATTAGTACATCTACAAATTAAAGGCCATGTTTATCAAAAGTTAACATAACACCAGAACTGCTCAAGTAACAATATCGTGAGTGGGTTGGATCTTGGAGAGGCCTTGTATTCTTCTTAATGAAATGACACGAAACAATCCTGCATCTTTCAAGAGAAGAAACAAACTGCACAATGTTGCTCAGTTCACGGAATTAACAGTATGTGAGAATACCTCTTGGATAGAGGCACTTGAAAGCAAAAAGGGTGAGTATGACTTCAACAGAGAAAGATCCTCTGTCCACAAAATCACCATTGAAGAGGTAAGGATTTTCTTCTGAGGGAAGCCCATTGAGGTCAAATATGTTGAGCAAATCAAAGTACTGCACAGGGGAAAAAAGAAGATTAACCATGCCAACCAGTGCAGCTTAAAGGAATCATATGGCAATACAAATTTTAGCCAGGCCAAGTGAAATCACTATTTCAGATGTCCAATCCCCTCAGGTACTCAAGATCTCTATAATCACTGTGCATCAGGGCTAATGTTTCTTCTTTCTTCCTATGTCAAATTTTAGAAAACGACAAGCTTTATTTCTACTTTATGTTATACTAATAGTTTAATACGGTACATCAAAAAGAGATACAAACATGTTCCATAACTGCAATACCTTATTTTGCAAGACCAATCTGTTTGTTAATTTGTAGGTGGGCAACTACAGTCGAAAATAGGCAGTTTCAAATACAGATGAATTAAAAGGAGGTAGCTTGAGATACAACTTTAATAGAGTGATGATGCAGTCATTTTGCGTTCTTCTCTTAGCAAGTATGCACAAAACAATGGAGTGAACAAAGTCTAAACAATCACTTCAAGTGATGCCCCGTTAAACATAAATACCTGGCCATGCACATCACCGCAAACTGTAAAATGCCCACCGTTTGGAACATCCACATCAACAAGGGAAGGCATCGAACGCAGCAAATCCAAGGTTTTTAGCACAATCTGATAAGCATATCTACATTGACAAGTTAACGAAGAAAATGACTCAGAGAACAGATAAAGACAACAAGAAACATGTTCCATTATGAGATATTGTACCTTTTATGTATGCATTTCTGCTTCTTAAATTCATCCAACATTGCTTTGACAAAATCTATCGTTATTTCTTCCCCATCAATTCTTGGTCCCGCATAATGTGGCTCTACTTCTAGTGAACGAAAAGAATTGTGCACCTTAATTAGAATGTGAAATAAGCAGACATAAGTTGTACAAATAAGAGAAGTCTCCACCCACTCAAAAAAGGAAAGCACAAGACTTACATGATAAATAGACATTCAAACTTCCAACGGAACAACACAAGATGGCATAATTCACAATAAAGTTAGTTGAGTTTCTGTAGCATGATAGCATCAAATGGATGGGGACTAATAAGTCCACAGTAGGTATAGTTTTTTAATAAAGTAGCCAACGATGACTGGACAGGCTCGTATCCCTTATTAGAAGGTGCAAGAGAAACTCTTAATCACCCACAACAGCTATAAAGACACCTGCGACCATGCATTTCACTTTTAGCCATGACTACTAAGGCCCTGTTTGGATCCCTCCATCTAAAGTTTAGTCACTAAAGTTTAGATCTAAAGTCTCCAAACAAGTGGTCTAAATTTAGATCTAAACTTTAGCTAACCCCTAAAAAGCATTTTAGACCATTAGACCAGAAAACAGAGCTAAAGTGGTCTTTTGTGTTGGTTTCTCGCAGCTCCCACACGCAAAAGACATTGTTGCCCCTGTGAACATATGTTCGTCCTGCCTCCCTCCGGAAAAAACTCCGTGAAAAAGCATCGGGCGCCAATCTTCCCCACCCAGACTCCCCACGCCCCGACCTAGCCATCCCATCATTGGCCGGCCTTCTCACCGCTTCCCCCTCCTCGATTCTACCACTGCCGACTATCCCACCACCTCCTCCCACCGCGCATCCGACCAGTAGCGCTGTCACTCCGAGTTGAAGAAGCAGCACCTCTGATGGATCCCGACGACGATGCGTCCATGCACCCCGAAGATCCCCTCCCCTATGATTTCTTCTCCCAAACCGCCCTCGTGCCCTCCAGCCAAGACAGCATGGTCGACCTCAACTTGTCGGCAGCTTTTGATTTCCCGCACATGGGGTCGTACCAAGATATTCTTGAATCGACGCCGGTTGAAGACGGAAGCAGTGGTGGCCGTGGCATTCGAGGCGCCCGTGACAGCAGAGGCAGCCATGAAGGAACTGGAGTTGATGCTGGCAGAGGCGGCCGTGGTGGCCGTGGCGGCGTGGGTGGATCTGCTGCTAGCAGAGGCGGTCGTGGTGGCTGTGTCGGCATCGCTGGGCGTGGCGGGCGTGCTGGAGCTGTGCCGTGGGCTACTTCTGGCAAAGCCCCAGCGAGTGTTGATGGAAGTAGCAATGGCCCAATGCCATCCCGCGCTGCTCGCACGGCTCGAGCAGCTAAAAATGGTGGACGTGGAGGCTCTGTCCGAAGTCGGCACTAGGCTACCATCTAGTGCAGCAGCCGTGGGCGGCACCTCGGCAAGCCACCAAGGCCCTCCCGAATTTGAAGATCCTGTAGGTATGACCGAAGAAATTGAGAGAGCAGGCGACGGCTTTGAAGGTGCTGGTATTGAAGAAGGGGATGAGAAACTCTTGGAAATAATTTTTCGGTCAGCACACCTTACTTGATCCAAAATATGATTACAGTTGTCTTTTTCTTTCACAAAGTAGCTTTCTAAGTTCTGCATTCATGGTCTGAATTTGCAAATTTTAGAATTGGTATGTACATAGGTGAATAGAGTGACGAGGTAGCCTTTAGGTGCCCCGATGGCTTGTCATTGCTTTTCTTATAGTTCACACAAGCCTCCTTTTTCCTGTGATCCTTTCATGCATCTGAACAGAGGCTACTAGGTCCTGTCAAAATGCTTGAACCTGATGGTGTGTTGGTCCATTTGCTTATGATGTGTACTTTACCAAAGCACTGTGGTACAGCCAAACTGCAGCATACCAAAACTTTATGCTGTGCTGATTGGCTAAATGTTGCAGCCAAATTGGTCCATATTTTTTCTGCCTACATGTTGCAAAATTACATCTTGTTAACATTTTATTTTTCATTTGAAACAACGTAGATGGGTAATCGCTTTGACAAGGCAAATTGGTCTGCTGAAAATACTTCTATTTTCTGTGAAATTTGTCTTGAGGAAAAGAGGGCAGGCAATCATAGCAATGGATTCATTACTAACAGGGGTTATGTGAATATATCTGAGAAGTACTACAATAGTACCCACCTAAAACACAGTAGGAAACAACTGAGAAACAGATGGGATCAATTGAAGAGGCTCTATCAGTTTTGGCCATACCTCAACGGACGCACTGGTCTGGGACGCAATGCTAATGGCTCGGTGATGGCTGATGATGAATTCTGGGATACACACACAAAGGTATTGATGACACAGCTTTTATGTTTAGTTCGTGCGTATAGGCTATCCTAATTAATGTTGACACTAGTTTACTTTGTTTCAGAATAAACCCGAACGGCGAAAGCCAGATCTGGACCTCCAGACAATCTTTCACACTTGGAGGAAATATTTGAACAAGTCGCAGTTGATGAGTCTTCAGCCTGTATTCCAGGTGAAATAATTGGAGATGGAATTGATGAGGTTGAGGACCAGGAGGAAGATGGGATGGAATACAGCCCAATGAGTGTTAGTGCCACGAAGAGAGCCAGCAGCACTACTACTACTGCCACGAGTCCTACAAAAAAAAAGAGTCCTATGGTGAAGGTGCTGAAAGGAACACTTGATGAGAACTTCAAGGAAGAAAGTTCAGGTGATAAATTGGCCAAATCAATGAAGAAAGCTCTCCAATTGGCAGTGAAAAGTGGGGCAGCAGAAGATAGTATCGAGTATTTCATGGCTACCAATTTGTTTGTGAAGGCTGAAAACCGTGAGGCATTCTTCAATTTCACCACTAAAGAAGCTAGGCTCATATGGTTGAAGAGATGGTGCACCATGAAGAAGTTGTACTAGATGAACTAGGATAGTGGGACAGCAGTAGTGCCTATCTTTATTTTCATGAACTTATTGTTTTCCATATACTTTGAATGTTTGCATGAACTTCCTATGAATGTTTGCTTATTATTAATGTTTGCTTGAACTCTGTTTACTATCAGCATGGTGTAATATTGAAATGGTTTTTTTGATTGTTGGCACTTGTTTACTGTAATAAGCTTTCTAACGTGTGGGGGTGCCTTATTTGTAGACGATTTTTACATCAAGTGATGAAGAAGACAATGCAGTTGAGGTGGCACAGGAACATCGTAGGAGGAAACGACAATTAGCTTCCATTGCTTGCATTATTGGTACGTACTATTTTGAAACTTACATGAACAAATCGACACAGAGTACTGTGAAACTATCGGGCATTGATTGGGTTATGAGGACATTGAACAATTCTAGATCTTGTTACGACATGTTTAGGATGAGTAGGGAAATGTTTTACAGACTGCATGATTTGCTAGTTACATCATATGGCTTAAAGTCTTCATGTAAGATGTCGTCGATAGAAGGTTTGGCCATGTTTTTAATGGATGGTTGGTGCCCCTCCCGGTTAGACAAACAGAAAATCGTTTTGAGAGGTCAATCGAGACAGTCAGTAGGAAATTTGATGAAGTATTGCAGAGTGTTTACAGGCTGTAAGCAGATGTTATCAAACCAAATGATCCTGAATTTAGAACGGTTTGCCCTAGGTTGGAAGGACCTCGATTTCATCCTTTTTTTGATAATTGTATTGGAGCCATAGATGGGACACATATACCAGTAGTTGTGCCAGTGTCAAAGGTCGTTCAGCATACGGGTCGGCATGGTAACACTTCCCAAAATGTATTAGCCATTTGTGACTTCGATATGAGGTTCACATTTGTTCTAACGGGATGGCCCAGGTCAGTCCATGATATGAGAGTGTTCAATGATGCTACAAATAAATATGGTCACAAATTCCCACATCCTCCACCAGGTCATATTGAATGTCATTTGGTATTTCATCTAATTATTCATAGTACCATCTGCCAGAGTTTAGACAAGGACCGAGGCCTAGTGGACGAAATGAGGTATTCAATTTTCATCACTCATCTCTTCGCAATGTCATAGAGCGTTCTTTCGGCGTTTTGAAGATGAAATGGAGGATCTTGTTGGGCTTACCGTCATATCCGACGCCAAAGTAAAGCCAAATAATACTGTCATGCATGGCTCTCCATAATTTTATTCGTGAAAGTGCAATAGCAGAAGCGGACTTTGATGGATGTGATCGAGATGAAAACAATACGTCAATGCCTGAGGAACCTTCATCTGAGCCAAAGGGTGGCAATCGACATGGCGGTGGCGAGGATCATAACATGAATACCTTCTGTGATAACATCGCTAACGCTTTGTTTGCTAGGCGAGAGTGATGTACATAAGCAAAAGTAGCACAGAATCATGTCTCCAAAATTATATGTACTTTGTAAAATACATTTTCTTTTATTACAGTCGGTCGTTATGTGGATGAACATTTTTTATTGACCTATCTGCTGTACCAAGTTTAAAAATTATTTATCAACAATCTGGTTCATTATTTTAGCAAGCAAACAACGGCAGCAAAAAAAATTGATGACGTACAGCCACCAGACCTCACTTGCATGCGCATCGCAACGGCTCAAAATCCTAGGGGTATAAAAGTCCGTTTAGTCAACCAGGACTATCCTTTAGACCATGATCCAAACAGTCTTGTGGTCTAAAGTTTAGTGGCTAAAGTTTACTAAACTTTAGCCACTAAACTTTAGACCTGAGAATCCAAACAGGCCTTAAGCATCCTCAAGTTTACTTCTACTTATTCATTCAGCATTCTCCATTCCAATCCAAATGGAGCAACATTATTGGAAAATGTGATGCCTACTTCGGTAATGTTTAATACAAGAATTATGAGCAACCAAAATCATATAAATGCATATGCCTCAAACCGCACCTGCACCTCAACACCTTTTCTGAACTATTTAGGGTTATACAGTAACTAATAAACCTAAAGCACATTTTTACAAAAGCATAATGAACACACAACTCTAAGGCATATGATTCAACAAAAGCTAATGCATGCCCACTATCACATGATTCTAACCAACATTACTGTATAAAGACAATAGTAAAATCGGTCATACTAAGTTATCGAATTCCACACTGCAACCATTCCAAGGGGAGAGGAAAGCTATTCCTCCCAAATACCTAGGACTTCAGCTCCACACACATGCGCTTCCAAGAGTCCATGTGGAACCGTTGATTGAAAGGTTGGTAAAAGATTGCAGGGGTGGCAAGGACGCCTACTTGTAGGGCATGCACACAGAACAGAACACGGTGGCAGGGTCCAAGACTCTAGACTCCGAGCAGCCAAGTGGTGAGCACGACCAATTTATAAGTTTGTTTGTTTCATTGGTTAATTACCTAATTTAGTTGGTTAATTTAGGTACTATGGTAAGAGTAAATATGGATCAGAAATAAAGGAGAAGGCAATGGCAATGAGAAGTATAGTAATTCGCAACAACTTGTTTTGGAAAGCAGAGGGCGTACCCAGTGTAGAGAGCTCCCGCTCTGTGCGGGGTCTGGGGAAGGGTGTCAGTGGCAAGCCTTGCCCTCACCTGTGCAATGCGAGGAGACCGCGACTCGAACCCGGGACCTTCCGGTCATAGACGGTAAGACTCTACCGCTTGTTTTGGAAAGCAGAGACAGAAAATAAATGCAAGCTTTTCGCATGGACCCTAGTTCAAAACAAACTCTAACATCCAACAGTCTAGCAAGGAGAGGATGGCCACATCAGACTTCATGTGCACTCTATCATGGACAGAAGGAAACTAGGCTGAATCTGTGTCTGCTATGCCCTTTCAGAGTGAAGTCTGGAAGCAGGTGCTTCTTCCCTCATATCCGGGCTCCTAATTCTAATTTCCAACTCCATTAAGGATTGGTGGGAAGCGGCAATTAAAACGGTGTCAAAAGACAAGAAATGTGCCTTTAATGCTGCAAGCATTTACAGCATGTCCATCTATCGAAAGAAAGAAACCGACGGATTTTCCAAAATGAAGGATCCACATCCCTAGTTTTGGCGAATGAAGGAAGACGTAGAACAATGGCAGCATGCTTTTTGGAGGTGTAATGAGAGTCTTAGTCCTTTGACAGTATTAGTATGTGCTAATCTTGGTTGTGCCCATCCTTCTGGGGAGCTTTGTGGCCCTTAGGAGCAAAAAATTATTCATTACTTCTCCCCTTTAATGCAAGGCAGAGCTACCGCCAATTTTCTTTCGAAAAACATTAGAACATGGAGCAACTAGTGAGCAAATCCCCAGCAGAATTCAAAAACCAGATACCTATGATATGGTAGTCGATAGAGTCCACCACGGAGCGCCTCTCAGCATCTCCAACAGAAATTGCTTCTTCAAAACGGATTTTTTGGACAGCTTTCTCACACTCTTTCAACTTTCTTGTAGCGTCTGGATCATTCGGACATATTTTTTTAACCTGGGAAAAGATTGTTTTTCTAATTTAAAACAGAAAACCAGAAGTAACAAAATTTACTACCCAATATATATTGGCAGTCAATAGTCTAGGTCACTAGGAGATTTGTACACAAGTAGAGCAGTTTGCTAACCTGCTGAAAATCCTTCAGGGCTTCCTTGAACTTTCCCATGGCAAGATATGCTGCGCCACGTCTATAATAACCCTACAAAAAAAGATAACTTCAATAATGCAGAAACTAAAAAATAAAGAGACCATGTCAGCAAGAGGTGGCACTGGCATCATCACTTACTTTTGAATATCTAGGATCAATTTCGATGGCTTTTGTAGCATCCTGCACAGCACTTCCGTATTCCTCTAATTTTGTGTGCGCAAATGCACGGTTTGCAAAGTAAACTGCATTTGAACTATTCAGCTCAATGGCTTGACTGTAAAGCTCTATAGCCTGCGAGAACTTGTTTGCTGGAAAAAATAGATGTAAGTAGTAAGTGCCACAGTTCAAAGAGAACATTAAAGAAGATCCCAGATTACAGCCGGATATATTTAAAATTTTAATGTAAAGGAACATCAGTAGCCAAAATGCCAAATAATGCTCTAGATGGTTTAGTGAGTGGATCAAGTATAAGTCACACTTAATTTTCATTGATTGAGACATACGACTTTCAAATTTAGTGCAAGATTTAGCATACAAACCCTAGTATGTCCCTATCTTCTTTTTAGCCACCATTACAATTCACAGAAAAATAGTAGGTCATATTATCATAATTGAATTTATCTTTTGCCCACTACAATAAGGTACTCAGAAGTAATTTTTACATAGTGAAAACACACCTACATGGAGTGTTAGGGGAAAAAAGTTAGTGCTCAGCTACAATGAAGAATCAGGTCAAATCCTAGCATACCCTTGAAGGCATCATTCGCCTTAAGTTTAAATTCCTCAGCCCTTTGCACATCTGAATTTGCAGTAGCATCCATGATAGTTATTATCCTTCAGCTGCCTACCAAAAGGATAATTTCATATGAAGACTTAAAGACCCTTTATCCACAAACTGCATGTGCAAAAAGTAAATAAGTTTGTGAAAGAACAAAGGAAGTACAAGAGTATCACACACAAGCATAACTGAAAGATAAATGCTTTAGCACCTTTTCTAGAAACTTACGATCCATAGTTTCATGACAGTAGAACATCGCACAAAGCCAGCATTTGAAAATATGCACCCCCGAATTCTAATGCACCCAGGCCCACACTATAACACACACATACTAAAAGTGGAAATTAACAACTTAATGAGATCACAATGTTTCTAGAGATGGAAAGTAGAACTATCACTGCTAATTATTCACTTTAAAAAAATAGACCAACCTAGGAGAACTTGGTGTCATTTTATTAAGAAGAAAATAGGCACACGAATTCACCTCGGCGAGGACTTGAACTTGTGTGGTCTGGGCATACATCCACACCCTTGACCGACAGCTAGCTCAGCTTCCTACTTAATTATTCTCTTAGAGTGCAGAATACAGGAGGGTAGTCAGTAGTCGTATCATGATAAACCAGTAGCAGTCAGTAGTCGTGTCATGATAAACCAGTAGTAAAGGAGCATGAAGCCAACCTTGCAAAATTCTGCAGCACAAACCTCGATGGGCAGTGAATCACAAAAAAAAAAAAAAAAAAAAAAAAAAAAAAATCGCTGTGCAGTCCTAACAGAACCATCCATCTCCTAGAGCAATACCATCACAACCCTTACCCAGTCACTCCAGGTACTGGTCCACATCACAAGCCCCATCTCTCAGTATCACCCAAAACTCCAAGGATATGATTTTGACATCGGGTCCACCAGATACCTTCTCATTAAAGGTTTCTCTTTTCTACAGAAACCATTTTGCATGCTCTTACTCGACCCTGAAACTTTGCTTCCTCTTTTTCACCCCAGAACCTAAACACTAAAGTTGGGCTTTTTGGGAAGGACCCAAGCCCCAGCCCAATATCCTCCCCATTTATGAACACATTATATGCCCAAACCTAATCTCATGTCACAACAATCAGATAGAATCAAGACATAAAAAAATGAGTTAAATGCATGAGCGGCCCCTGAACTTGTCAAGAGGTGTCACTTAGGTCTACGAACTCTGAAAATGCATTTCTGGGTCCCTATTCTTGTTATATCGTGCACCACAGGTCCATATTAGCCACATGGTCATTTGTTGCTGATGTGGTATGACAGCATGGCATGCATTTTTACATTTAGACGGCAAGGCAATGGCTTCTGTGGCCAGAACGGAACATTCTGATTGGAGAGGAAAGAGAAACGAAATTATATTTTAGGTGCATATATGTCTGGGCCACTCCAGCCTAGGTGCAAAGGTACATTCTAGCCCAATAGAGAGCATAGTCACAAAGTTCCTGGGTCGATTGGGTCGTGGAACGTGGTACGTTACTTGCGACAGGTTATATGGTGGGGTCAAAAATGGCCCCGTGTAACCAGGTTGGGGACGACATTCCTGGATCAGGTGTCAATGCTTTCAACCCTGTTTTATGTGACTAGACTGGATTTTTTTGGAACAGCTCTCCAAATGAGGATTTAGGGTGTGAAGAACGCAAAGATGCTTATATAGACACTTAAAGAGAGAGACCAAATGCCACATCAGTAAGCTTTTCCACAAGAGTTATTCTACAATGGAAACAATTATTTCACACATGCTTAAATTAGTAAATTTAGGAGCTTGTTTAAGCACTTGGCCGCCCAACGCATTTACATCATAATGTAGTTATTTCTTTACTTGGAGACAAGCGTCGGGCTCCTGTAAAAGATTGAAGCACCGGGCGCCCTATGCGAGCGCCGATTCAGCATGCAAGCACCCATGATGCTTCGAGGTAGCTTACACATGGCATGAGATTTTAATAACTGTCCTTAGGTGTCTGCTAAGAGCCCTGCGATGTACGTGCCCTTAAAGGGTGGGTATTAGGGGTGTGTTTGGTTGCCTGCATCTCCTTCGCCTTGGCTGTGTGGATCCGTATAATATGAAAAAGAAGCTTGTTTGGTTGCCTGCTGAGTGGATGCAGCCTGCATGAGCGGATGCAAAAATACACCCCCATCCTGGCCCGGTGGATACGCTCAAAATGAGCTTCACTGGACATCCTAGTTGGGTAGATGCAGTGTATTTAATGCGGTCCCACGTGTCAGCCTCTCAGGTTTGGTAGACTGCATCCGCTCATGCAAGCAACCAAACAGCATCTCGGTTTTTTGGCATCCGCTCATGCAACCTCATCAAACACCTTCTTTTTATGAAATACGGTTCCACTCGGCCTGCATCCACTCAACCAGGATATGCAATGCAACCTCTATACACCAACCAAACACGCCATAGAGAGATTGCTGGAGATGCTCTAACTTGGTGTCTAAAAATTTAATTAGTGCATGTCATTTATAGTATCAATAGAAAAGAAAGGCATTGATTGCATCTTTGTAATGTCGGTGATTGGTTGAGGGGCATCATAGTCATCTCCCTTTCTCCTTAATCTGTCTTAAAATTCTTACAAATGCGTACATTTGTGGACAGGGGAGTATAAATTATAAGTATGTTCAGTGCAAAGAAATTATACAGCTAGATTCATATTTCAAAATGCTTCCAAATTATATCAGTTTCCTAGTTACAAATGATATGTTTTGTGATAACATAACATTAAAGACAAAAGGAAAACAAGTATGCCTCTATAAAACTGTGGAACAAAGGGAGTACCTTCTAAAAAATATTTTGCTAGGTGCTGATCACTTTAGTTCTACCAAATGACCCCAGCAAGAAACTATAACGCAATTAAACATAATGACAGTCCTAGGGGCGTCACTGTTGAACAGCACATCCATTGAAAGCACAAATCGCAGGTTTCAAGTATCTTTTGCAGCAGCATGGTTCGCACAGCAGAAAGGGATATCTTAGCACAAGACAGGGACTGACCCAGTTAAAGGACATGGGCGTACACGTGTATACCGGATAATTTTTGCAAAGCAATCGAAGTTAGCAGGCATAATACATGCGTATACACTTGTAATTAGATTCAGATCTGAATACGAATAGTATGTTAGGGTTTGGGCGCACGGCTTCGCACAGCAGCAAGGGAAGACCAAGGGGCGGCGTGCCTACCAATAGGAAGTTAGGGTTTGGGTGCACGGCTTCGGACAGCAGGAAGGGAAGACCACGAGGAGGGCGTACCTGGTGGTGCTCGTCGCCGGCGAAGGGGCCGAAGTAGAGCGGCAGCGACGGCCGGCGCAGTCGTCGAAGGTGGGGTGTTGAGCGCACGCTGCCACGCTGGGGGTGAGATGGAAGAAAGCAAAAGGCAAGGTAGGGTTTTGCTTGCAGCGTTCAGGTACAGCCTACAGGTAGCGCGGGTGCGGGTGCGGGTGCGGGTGCGGGTGCGGTACAGGGCCGGCCTGAGCTTTTCCTCTGATTTTCTAGCACGATTGAAAAAACTTATATACAGGCATTTTTAGTTCTTCGTCCTAAAATTTACTCTCTATCATATCAGATGTTTAAACATATGTATAGAGTGTTAAATATAGACTAAAAATAACTAATTGCATAGATTATGACTAATTTGCGAGACGAATTTTATAAGTCTAATTAGTCCATGATTTGATAATGTGGTGGTACAATAAACATGTGCTAATGACGGATTAATTAGGCTTAATAAATTCGTCTCGCGGATTACTGACGGATTCTGTAATTTATTTTTTTATTAGTATCCAAACACCCCATGCGATATCCTTATGTGACACCCAATGTGACATCCATAAACTTTACTCTCTGGATTTAAACACCACCATACTCTCCAATAACTCGTTATCTCGACTCTCAATTAGGTAGCGTCTGGTTCGAAGTCAAGGTGCAGTGGGATGATCCCGTCTTTGATTTCTAGGACGGGACGGGGACGGGATGACTCTATTTTTTTGTTTGGAGGAATAAATAGAAATAGGATGGATAGTGGATTAGACGTTGTTTGCTACTGTTTGGTGGGACCCACTTGTCAACCTCTTTCTTCTACATGCATGCAGCTAGCTCGTCGTCCAAACCCTTTGCTTACTTTTTTCCTTTTATTTTTTCTTCCCTTCTCTCTATTCTCTCTCCACGTTATCTAGTAGTCCACCACACAGCACCACACATGCCTGAGCGCCGCCGCGGGTCAACTCCTGTGCCCTGGCATCGCCGTCGCGGGTCGCTCCACCACTATCTCAGGCCGCGTAGGGGCTCACCACCCTGCCCCACGCCGGCGGTACGCGAGCTCGCCCGCTCATCGCCGTTGTGGGCCACGCAAGAGCTTGGGCACCGCACCCCACGCCAGGAGCTAGACCCGCGAGCTCCGCCCACCACTGCTACGGCCGCCATTGTCGCTACTCGGTCACCCGCGTGAGAGTTCGCTTAGCCGGAGCTCACATGTGATAGATCTCACTGGGGGAGGATGGAGCGCGAGGCCACGATGAAAGGTCATCGTTTGGTTTTGGTAATTGAGTGACAACCTAGGTGGACTAATTATGTTTAATGTGAGATACACAGATTATTAGTTCACAGGTACATATGTGTGAGCAACATATGCCATAGAGGTGAAAACGGCTTAGAGATGTTGCAAAGCTCACACATATGATGAAGGAGCTCATTGCATATGGGACATGATATGGTGTCATGTGACTAAGGTAGAAAAGATCAAGACAAGACTTGGCTTGATGGACCGGTTGCAGGCATGAAGGGCAAGTTGGAGGCTTTGGAGCGATGGACCGCATGGCGATGAAGCTTGAGCAAGACTTGCCGCCGATGGACAAAGGCAACGGTGAAGAACAAGTGATGTCAAGATCGATGAACCAACAAGGACACGTGATGATATGAAGTGGATCATATCATTTGTGATTGGCTGGTGCATGTATTGCATCAACATTGAAAGAGATGAAATGAAATGCGCAAGGCAAAGGTATATTTGTAAAGCATTT